CGTACGTACGTACGTACGTACTACTCTACTCTCTCTCTCTCTCTCTCTCTCTCTCTCTCTCTCTCTCTCTCTCTCTCTCTCTCTCTCTCTCTCTCTCTCATACACATACATCACATAGATACATCACGGACAGAAAAATAGATTTAACGTGTGCATCAGCATTTAGCTGACTCCGGTATAGCCGAGCTCGAGAAGGACCGCATCAATATAATTCGGCGCGCATGGAGGAAACGCTACGCTCTTGATCAATATTCGCGATGCGCGGCGACTCGACCAATCAGGGATCCGCCAAAGACAGTACCCGTGACTTCGATACTGTCTGACGAGCGTTTCCCTCGCGACCAGCGGGGCGATGTCATAAATTCGTCAGTCATAATCGCATGGCACAGATCGGAAATGGGTCAGCTGATTGGTGAGCTTCAAGGTAGCTCATCGGTCAACAGACTCGTCGGCTCTAAACAGGTCTTCAAAGTGGCCGACTGATCTTCGAGGCTGCGTTTTAGACCCTCTATCGTCTGCATCAGCATCTGTCGCCGTAACTGAGATAGCTGATGCTGGAAGAATTGCGAATCTTGAGTGTTATTCGCATTCGCCTCGGCCGCCAATCGCTCCTGCCGCAGTTGCGCTACCTTCTCCTTCAGGGATCTCCTCGAATCATCTGCGTACGAAAACAATGTTTATGGACGGAAATATAGCTTGACAACGATAGGCAAATTAAACTCACATGTTGTACTAAGCTTGAAGTGCAACAACTTTAAAACTGGACAAATATAATATGAAATATAATATAAACAAAAATATTATAATAAATGCAGAGAATATCAGAAATTTATTTTCAAGCCATAGAGTTATTCATTATCGCTTTTTTGAAACAAAATAGGGAAAATAGATCAGTTTTCAGGAAATAAAAAAAGAAATAGTTTGCCTGATTTTAAAGTAGCAGGGAACACGACATTTATATTACTTATTACTTTGTTGTGGATTAAATAAATTAAAGCAGATTGAGAAATTGCAATTACGTACTATCAAATAACAGATATGCCAGGCATAGAATGATATGATTATCGAAAAACGAGGAAATTCTTCGAACATTACAAAAAGGTAGATGTAAAAGTACATACCAGTATCATCGGTCCCTGTATCGCCGTCAGAATTTCTCAGCATAACATGCTCGCCCAATGTCTTTTGTATCCGGCCGTATGTAGCGCTTCCGGCATACACTTTTCTTTTGACCGGTTCGCTTTGTGGGCAATAAGAAGAACCTTCTTTAATCGGACCCATGTCGATCGATCTACAAAAGCATCTTTCTGTTGAAGATATTCAACGACTACACATTTCTATTCCACGACACACTTTCATATCAAGTTAATATTATTTTATCAAATATCAATATCAATTCCTATTAATAGTAAATGTAAATTCGTTACCTTATTGCGCTAATTTTATCAGATCACTTTATTGCTAACGTTTGGCTATCAGGGATTTTATATGGAATAATAATTCCATGGTGAAAAACAAAGCAGCAATGTTTTAGATAAATTGCTTAAGAAGCAATTTTTTATCTAAAGAAATCAATAATGGCAATTTTCCGTTAAAGTACATCAGTTATTCAAGATTTTATCGATTGCCAACCTGAAAGTCATCAATGGAGCCCTTCGTCTCACGTCGCATTTCTCTTCGGAATCCGATGAGCTAGATGTCACTCCTTCCTCCTTCGTCGGTTCTCTCGCGGCGCGAAACTCCTTTCTATTTCCAGCGAGAGAGTTCTGGGACGTTCCGTTCATGTGCATCTTATCTCCGAGGGAGTTGTTCACATTCATCATCTCCAGTCTCGGTCCGCCGTTGCAGTTCAAGGCGATCCGAGGCGATCTATTGCACTCCTTGGCTTCCACCAGTTCGCCGTTGCGTGCTCGATGCATCTGATGATGTATCAGAGTTCTGCTGGGCGAACTCTGCGGCGTCGTTCTACGCTGCATCGCCGGCGAATCCGGACACTTGGACAGCTCGTGTTGCCGGTAAGCAGCGGGAGGTTCCTTCGGCACGAAACTGGCCGGCGAATTTCTTTCCATGAACCGGTGAATCGGCGAGCACGGTGGCTGAGTAAATTGTCGTTTGGGGCTGGTGTGTTCCAGATCCCGGATACTGCCGCTCTGCAATTCTGGTTGGGAATTGCGGCTTTTTGACAACGCCAGCTCGATATTCAGCTCCGTATTCTTGATAAGCTCGACGCGCTTGTTTGCCAGACCATTGTGCAGCTTGCGCGACGGCGACGGCACGCACGGCGATGGGTTCTGATACTTCTGCATGCTCACCAGGATGTTCTCCGCTTCGAGGATGAGCTCGCGATACTTGCGATCGGCCTCCTTGTCCGCCTCGATTAGTGCGATTTCCGACGCAAAAGTCGCCATGTACGTGTTGCCAGCTACATGGCGTCGCACTATGTTGCCGTTTACGTAGCTTATCTTGAAGAGAGAAACAAAGTAATATAATTTAAGACCTCGATATGAGCATAACACGAGAAAAGTTAATCATACTTTAATTAAGAAACTGAATAGAGTGGCATTAATTAGATTTTGGATCCTCACCGAGTTTGATCGTCTCTTTACAATGTCATTCTCAATCGGCGCCGGTCTGATTGCCGACGGATTACCGTTCAGCCTCATCGGCGAGAGATTCTTGTTGACATCGTGCTTCCTGCGTCGCAGACACATCGGCGTGCCGCCCACACTTCTACTGCCCTGATTAAACCCAGAATTTTTCAGCAGCATTCTTTCGACTAGCACGCGGTTCAAATTCGCTGTCTCGTCGTCGCATCGATCTAAAGTGGGCTTGCGACGCTGCGATATCCTCTTCTTGCGCTTCTCGCTCTGCTTGTCGTCCATTTTTTTGTGTCGCGCGCTCTGTCTCTTCGCGCTGGCCCTCGCATTTGCGGCTCTGGCAACGTAACAAGAACAACAATACAATTTCAGCATTGTTTGGTGTGAGAAACGTAAAATATATCTATCGACAATTCGAAGGAGAAATTTTGCAAAACTCACCTTTGAGACACAATTTCGTCCTTGGTCCTACGTTTGAGGAAGGACTCGCGGAGTCGGGTGCCGCGGCGGCTGAGCTCGCTGCTGAAGGCAAAGTAAGTGCAGTGGCCGGTATTGGGAAAGTGGCCGCTGCACTCGAGACTGTCCAAGTCGAGGAACGAGCCGTTGTCGATGTAATCGAGTTCGTCGTTCTCGAATGGATCGTTTTCATCGCCACCGTCCTGGCCGGTGTCGATGTCCGACAGCGAGTCAATGTAATCCTCACAGTCGGTCGGGTCGCTGTCCGACAGAATATCCGTCTCCTTCTCGTAGACGTAGCTCTCGTCGAACTTGCCCATCATCTCATTCAGCGTGATATCGTCCTCGGACGAGCGAATGCTGCGCGTCACCGAGGATGCCGAAGAACTGCTGCTGCTGGCTCGTCGTTGCAGAGCCAAAGGAATTTTCGGTCGGAGGTCCATGCCCGATGTGATCCTCCAATTTTGATTGATCCTGCGCGAGAGACACGATAAAATTGCTAATCAAAGGCTGGTTTACATTATCACGCAAATAGAAGAGAGTAAAAAAAAAATAGAGGAACTATACAGGAAGTATTGATTTTATTTAATATTTTATCTTTTATTTTTACTCGTTTTATTTTAAAATTATTTAATTTGCTTGCTTTATTTATGAATGTGCGAGTTTATAAAACTTTTTACCAATGAATAAAGTTTGGAAGCGGTTTTAATAAACTGCAATTTTGCTTTATTTATACACGCATAAAACAATTTTATTTCAACGTATTTGATATACTAAACTAATTAAATAAATCGTAACCGAATCACTGACTATCGTCTGCCGATTTTTCAAGCAGAGAAAAAAATTTTGCAGACTAGTAATTTACGATCGCGTGATAGTTTCTACAAAGTGTATAATTATATTCTAAGCGAGCGTAAATTATAAATGCACTATCAACATATAAAATATGTATGCGCAATTTGCAAACCAATGATAATCATATTGTGAAAGGAATTACGTCGATCGACAATTAGCGATCCGCGTGGGGGGTTAATTGCGAATTAATAATTAACTTAGGCGTTCACGTGTAGGGCGAAAGCCCTTTTCTCACAATTACGAATTGATAATAAAATAGTTCCGCAAGTCTCTCCTGTCTCGTAAACTTTTTTAACTGTTGGCTTTTCCTTTAAGTGCATCGCATCTGCTTCAGTCGACTCCAGATCTAGAAGTCTGGAAAGCCGGTGGGTTTGTGAAAAGAAACACGTTTCTTGGAAGGATACGTCTTCCATCGGCCGGTAACTTACGCAATTAAAAGTTTTTCTTATGAAAAATTGAATTGGCTCCGAGGCTTGCTGCAGAAATACGATAGATTTTTATCCTCGCAATTTCTTATATCTTATTTTTATAAATTTTTCTCTAGTATTATTTATCTAATTTTAATTCTTACTCTCTTTTTAGCCAGATAATCCTGTCATCAATATCTAATTAATCATTATAATAATATTACTTTTCAATTTAATCGATATCTAATTTCACAGTTAAATTCTTTCTTCCGAAATCTTACACTATTTGCAAATCAAAATTTATACAATAAGATCATCATCACTTACGGGCTTCGACCTGCGCTGAGGCTCTCCTGACGATGCTCCCGCCTGCTTTGAAGCTCCCTGCCATTCAGGTTGACGTCACTGGCGCTACCGGACGACTCCGTGAGTTTTAAGCCCGAGCTGCTGCTGCTCTCGTCCAGGGTGAGTCGTGACTTGAGGCCGTTTGTGCTTGAACCGGAAGAGTTCGCCGACAACCACGGATTCGTCCGAATGCGGGAACGCTCGCGCGGCGATTGTACCGGAGGTGAGACCAACGGTGGCGGTATCGAAGACGGTACGGGCAGACTGTTCCTCGAATCGGCGGAATAAGACTCGGTCCTGCGGTGAGAACTCTCTTGTTGCCGCTGCTGCTGCTGCTGCTGCTGCTGCTGCTGCCTCTGACCATGATTCGTTGGTGTTTCTTCGCTCTGCCGATTTAACGCGGATAGAAATGAAAAAACCGTTGGGATGAAGGAAACGACAACTTTATAGTTTATTAAGCGATTACGATTTTTGCCGATTAGCGGTTAATTAAATCTTCCGTTGATACATACTTATGCAATAGTGCTATAACGTAAAAAAAGACAGAAGATCGATTGAATAAAATCGATTAAATAAAAATAATTAGGTCGGTGAGATCAATTAATTGTCACTTTTTTTTAAATAACGTATATTTTTGTGAAGATCGTGATTTATCGGATAAAACTAACAATTCGCGTAGAAGGAATACGCGTATGACACTTATAGTGCTATTATTGGAATTAGAAAATTACATTTAATTAGCGTCTCGCTGCGTGTCAAGCAAATCTGTAGAAAATATTAAGACAAATTTTGTTTCCAGCAAAATTTGCAAATTAATTTTTCTATATAAAAGAATATGAAAGAAAATAAAATATGTCTCACGCGTGAATTCATTCGATCAAGCTTCTTCAAAATCGCGCTTTTGTATTCGTCGCTCCGGTTTTTCGCCTTTATCGTCAATCTAAATCGCAAGCTCGATCGTTTCTCCCCATTGTGCTGAAACGAGGGTACCCTGACACGGTGTGTGCAGCGCGCAATCGATCACGACCCAGAAGAGGAAGGATTCATTTTTCACTCCTACCGCCCATTAACGCCTGATATCCTGGCGCACGTCTCGCGACAATGCATCCCTCTTTCGAGTCGCGAGACTCGGCGGAGAAGTGAATCTCGAGGAAAGGTGCAGCGGAATAACCTTTCCAGAATTTTTCACTTCCGCGGACACGTTTCTTTTTTTAAGAAGAATACAACAATGTGGCTAATAAATGTTTTTCCTTGACAAATAGCAGTACGTGCACCGTAAAGAGAATGGATCATCGCTTCTCGGGTATGCTCGCGCTTGAGATCCACCGAGAGGAAACTCATAAACTACGTCTCTCTCTCTCTTGTACCCGTAATATATACTGTGACGATAAACGCGTCACTCCAGAACGTATACTTCCTGCTTGGTAAAAGAGGCCGGATGTCATTGAACTCGTGGCCTCAAAGGCTCAATGGCGAACGAACGCACCCCTCTAAGACTTTGCGCGCGCGGGAGGGTGTCTGAGCGAAACCACGGTAATCTCGTACCGTGTATTCGAGGAGCATTTACTTTCGGCCTATAAACTATTTGAGGGAGATAGGGACTGAAAGGAACGAGACGCGTTTGACGAAGAAGCCTCTTGTGAATACATTATATCGAGGCATGTTGAAACTCCGCGAGAGCCCGCGGCTCCTAGCGGCTTCCTCCGTTTAAACATTGGAATTAGAATTTTGTTTAGAAAAGGCCGCGCGTAAAAGCAATTATCAATTTTTAAGGATTTTTTAATTATATTAGTATCGGAAATATTTCGATCGAATTTAAACTTGATATGTTTGAGGCAATTGACAAGAAATTGTGTTAAAAATTTTACAAATTTCCACAAAATATGACTATAAGCAATTCTAATTAATAAATGATTCATAAAAGTGTCTTTTCTTCAGTAAAAATATATATATATTTTTTTAATTATTCCCATTTTAAAATGACATATTTGGAGTAAGAGAAAAGTGCTGCAGTTGACTTTATTTCATTCAAATGTATTCGCTAATGCTTTGTTGTGGAACAAAGCCGCATTTTGATGTTTATTGCCGCAAAATTTTCTCATCGCGCTTGAATTCTAATTTACGGACAATGTACTCTTACCTTGTGCGGCGTACTCGTTCGTATTTCCTGCTGAGTATTATCCCTGGTCATGTTCGTCGTGCTCGCGGATGACTGCCTCCTGTCCCCGGCTGTTCCATTTCCCGACGCGGCGCTACCGGCCGGAAGCAGACTCGCGGCGTCGCCCGGCGGCCTCTTCGCCCTGGTCTTATTGTTATTGTTGGTGGTGGTAGTAGCGCCGCTACTGCTCTGGAAGTAGTGGGTGCCGGTCCTGATGTTGATATAGTACTCGGGCGGGAAACTGGTGCCGGGCGAGGTGCCGTCGGTCGAGTAGCCGGTCGAGTACGCGCTCTCCGGCGAGGAAAGGCTCACGCTTCCGGCGGTGCCGCCGGAAGTGCCGGATGAAGTAGTCACTGACGCGCCGTAGCCGCCCCCGTGCAATCGGATACCGTCCACGTTCTTCGTCGGCGAATCCACCGGATGTACCTGGAAAAAAGATTCCTCCGGATGTGCAATCACGATTTCGATTACCGTGAAATTTATTCACAATATCGATTCCTATTTAAGTCAATATAAATAATGTGAAATACTTCATTAAAACACTAATCATTTACAAAAATTTTGTTTTGAAGAGGTATATTACGAATATTAATTAAAGAGATTCTGTCATTTTTTGCAGTCTCGGATCTATCATTTTTTTTTCTCATACTTTTTTATCAATTTTAGATATTTTATGCAAAAAGTTGGAAAAGTATCAAATGTGTTTAACAGCTTGCAGGAAAAATCTATGAAATGTGTGCTTAAAAATTCAATTTTCTCTATACTAATGCACACAATTCGTTAAAGCAGTCGTTCGATGATTGCATAAAGTCCGAAGATACTGCGGCAATCTGCGACGGCTGGCGCGAGAGAACGAGGGCGAGTTCGTCCACCGGTAAGTGTCGGAAAAAGAATACTAAACCCTTTTTCTGCCCGTCTTAACGATAAGCGTCGACGTGCCCTGGCCGGTCTTACTGGAAAGCGCCGACGTAAGGGTCTGTTGGCGGAGAAACAGACAAGCGTAACGAGCAAACGCTGGCAACCAGTAGGAAAATAGGGGAAGCACTTCACAAACTAGTTTGCCGATAATGACGATGAATCCAACGAGCGTGCACTTTTCAAGATGCTTGAAGAGCTGTGCCGCATCGAGAGATCGCGAGTGTAGCAATTAATCGATGTAAAATGTTACACACAAATTTATAAAAACGACTGTTGAAACGATATAAAAATTTTGGGAAATTGCATTGGAAAATTACCTTTCATCGATTTGTTTCGTTAAATGTTATAAGCATTGTATAAATTGATGCGGATTGCGGTAAGATTTCTAGACGCGTCTATCGGAGTAAGAAACTTTAAAAAATTTCCGTCGGGCGATATAAACGCGCGCGCGCGTCGCGAAGATAACGTATTGTAAAAGTAGGTTTTATACAAAATTACTTTGCTCAGAAAATTTCAACTTGTAAAATAGCACAAAACGAATAATGCAACGCCGGAGATTCGCGATATCTTAGAATCGTTTCGCAAAGCGACCGAGAAGATCGCGGGATATTTATTCACCTGGTGTAAAGCGGGCGATCTGTTGGCGCTGTGGCTCCTGGGGGAGTTGCAGTTCGAGTCGAATCCCTTGTCGCCCTTCTTCCGATCCTTTTTCTTTTTCGATCGCACGATGTGTGCCTCCATCCACGTGCGCAATTTCGTCCCAAACATGTTGCACACGAATGTCGGTTAACGGAGCGGCGCCTCGTCGAAAATGCCCAAGTGGATAGAGGAACCCTTCCCGTGATTATTGCTCTCGGTATCGGCTGCGATCGCGTTTATTTGCGCGCACGTCTGCTTGGATGCTCCATTTCACAGTGAAACGGGATTTCTGCAACAAGAGTGATTTACTTACAAACAATCGTTCACAATCTCACTTTGAACAAAAAAAAAAACTGTGTACACCGAAATTGTCATTTATTATCACAAATGTCACACAGCTCAATAATACAAATTATCTTATAAATCCAATTCCGGTTGAAATGCGAACCGCGCGCGGTATAATTGCGCTCGGCATGGTCGTCGATTCAATTTAATCATTACGCGACAGACGCTCGCAATTGCCCGCTCGGTGTCGGGTTCTCCGGCTATCCCGGATTATCTCGTAGATCACTGCGGCGTTGCGCGTCGCACGAGACGATTATTATAATCTCGCGTTATACCGACTATTTACACACGGGACTGCGCCGTCGAGTCACTTTTACGTTCCTTCGCCGTCGGAATCATCAATAACAGCCTCCCGCAGGTACGTACGAGCTTGCGCCTCGCATTAACATACTAAGTGGCCGTCGTCGCTTCCACGCCATTTTTCCGGGCTCTAATGTGAACGAGCAACGTGATAAGCCACCGCCTCGTTTCCCACGAAACGATAAATCTGTAACGGAAGATACAAACATACATCCATGTAAATCCTGCCGTATCGCAGAGCGCAAATTTATGCGATCGCCACTGGAAAAAGCGATCGATCTCATTTTAATGCCGACTTATTAAGCTGTGTGTAGGATATGCGGAATTTATCGCAACGTTCTTTCAACATTCTACGACGTATTTAGAATAAGCAAAAATTTGTGACGATGTATATTTGTCTTTCAAACAATATCGAGAATTCAATTTTTCAGCCCATTGAGAAATCGTTGTGGAAGTGCGAGTGAAATAAATTTTCTTCGTTTCGTTACATCTTAATGTGAAACATCGAACTTCTCGACCATTCTCATTACGTCCAGGGAGATAATCAGCGAGCTAAATTTAATTAGGAAATGGCTATCGAGTCCGCGCAATTTAACGGACTGGATAATTAATGTCTCACGTGTTCGAGAAGACTAGGTTGGTTTTAACCCTTTCCCAATTTCATTAAAGTTACCGGGATATCTATTACGCTTTTAGGAAACATAAAATTTTAAATAACTATAATTATACTACATATAGATGTTAATTACATATTAAAGCATTAACCATTGAAAAAAAATTGAGCGATGTGACGTAAGAAAAATCCAATGAAAATTATTCTTGTTTTCGGATTTAACTTTTAGAAATAAGATTAAATATTACTGTCCAAATATTTTGTACAGCTAAATTATTACTTTTAAATTTCTGTGCTTTATAAAATATACACGTGACTTTTACAATTTTCTAGATTTATAATATTCGTTGCACAAATTGCCGCCCTTGTTTATCCTCGGTTTACGTCTTCGACGCTTCAACGAGACCAGCATGTAAATTTGCATAAACGTGGCCTAAGACTGTAGTTTCAGGCACGATTTCGGAAACTCGTGGCAGAACGATCACTTTATGGAAATAAGCGGATAGGCGCTGTCGTCAACTTTTAAGAGGCACCGTTGAAAAGGTATTAGGAGCGCCGGCCGAGTTTTAATCAAGGCTTCGTCGCTCCGAAAGTTTTTGGCAGAGACGGGGGCCATAGTCGAAAATGATTAAACGCATTTTTGCACAGAGACCGCAAACTTTGAATTGCCGTGCGCGTCGGAAGTCTCTCGAACGTAATAATCTTATTATATACGCATTATATACAGAGAATTAGCAGCGTTAATTAAACTTCGTGCGGCTGGCAGATTTTGTGAGGCATTAAATGCGGGTACGTGGCCGTACAGTCGCAAACCTCTGCGCTTTCGCCCTCTGGTTCAAAATGACTTACAATAATTTATAAGTCTTTTCCTTCCGCTTACATTTCCATGCTTCTACACAGTCCCTCACTGAGATGTTATTAATATTTTAGCACCGTTTTTAAGCGCTACCGATTCTTTTTCATCTCTGCCCTGCCTTCCTTTTCATTCGCGTTATTATTTTTCTCGTCAATTCTAGCACTTTTACGATTTATTTTTATATTTTGCTACAAAATTCGCGTTATTCTTACATTTAATTACCTATTTTAATCATCTACGAAAGGAACGTGATTATTTATAATTTTTTTGCCATTTTTAACCGTTCTATTTTTGAAATCCATTACCACATTTTCCATTTCTGTAAAAATTTATAAATCGACTTTGTTATTCTTTACACATTTTTCGTTCACATCCATCATCCATGGGAGAGATGTGATTTCTTCCTCGAGAAAGCGTTTCACGTACGCTTTCCCTATATACAAGTTGCACGCTATGTAACAGGCCATATGCAAGCTTCGCAATGCATATTTACTCGCGGAGCCAGGCTCCTCGATCTAGACGGGGGCTTATCAATCTTCAAGCTGCAGAGAGCTTTCCGCGAAATAAATATTTCGTCGGCTGCGTCCGCGTCATCGCAGTCGATTGAATCATCCTGCGTTTCTTCTGCTTTCTCTTGGCTCGACTGACACTACGTGAGCGGAAATCGGAAGGCAATGACGATGCCCTCTCGAACTGAACGCGGCGAATTTTTTGGCGAGGGTGTATCCGACCACGTCGTGACCGGAGAACGAATTCGTGACGAGGAAAAAGCGAGATTCGCTGGGAAAACCGCGCAATTAAAGTCTGAGCACGTGGATTAAATGAAGGATAGATGTTCCGTAAGATGAAAATTTCGCTCAAGTTTTTGGAGACTTTAAGAAAAGTCCATTCTAGCAGAATAGAGCAAAGAAAAATTAAATGCTAACTTTTATTTAAAAAGATATTAGTTATTTTTGATTTAAAAAGTTGTTGATCTCTCAAAACTTTAAAATTTTTTCGACTGTGCATGCTTTTAGTCGCGAAAACTCTTTTGATTTAGATTTTAGATAGAGAATTCTAGAATTTTTCTTATTTCTTTCAAATTTTGAGAAAGTGGAAGTAACTTCATATAGATCACTCTCTTCTATTTACTGCAAATCGTCGCGGGAATCAGCTCGAATCTTTTAATTAGATCTAGTATCGTGACGCTCGTTAAGAGTCACTTCCTTGTGTCAGTCGCCATAATTCGATTGCGTATGCTAACGCGCAAGTTATATAATGCGGTTAAGTTCGTCGTCGTCGTCGTCGTCGTCGTCGAGCCCCGGGATTTCATTTCCATAATGTTTCGGCAGAATTTAAGGACACCCAGAAGGACAAGCAACCCTCGGATCTTCGTTAGACTAGGACCGCATCCCCTTATTGCTCTCTGCGTTTCCCTCTCTCTCCGCTTGCACCGTCATATCGGCTTTGCGTGAACAAAGCAGCCCGCTTTGAACCACCTGCATGTATTCATGAAGTTTGCACGGTTCGATAATTACGAAGTGAATCAAGCCCCTTTCTCTGTCTCTCTCCCTATCTCTCTCTCTCTCTCTCTCTCTCTCTCTCTCTCTCTCTCTTGATATCGATATCAAACGCTACGTTCGATCGACACACTATCTAATTATCTCTTTGAAGCGACTTTTTGGAGATGCATGATGAGCACGATTTTTATCAGCCTCGGATAAAATCGGCGATGTTCATATATTATGGAATACATACGTGAAGGTAAAAAAATTCTACCTTTCACGCAAATTAAATCCCTGTAGAATTATGGATTCAATGGTGCAGTTAATATACAGTTTTATACCTTCTCACTTAACATCAATAACAATTTTTCATTATTATAGTATAACAGCTTTTACATATTTTATTATTCTATTGTATGTATATTTCTCATTATTGTGCTGTAATTATAATTGCCTTCTTCTCCGCACAGTAGAACATTGATTAAAAAAACTTTTTGTTTTATTTTATCTTTACAGTCAAATATTATACATGCATATATTTAATCCGACTTTCATGCGTCATTGCTGACATCCGGTGTCAATCGTCGATATGACTGAAACTAATTTGACAGACACTCTATTTGAAAGACGAAAGCGCTCCGGTGGCTGAGAGGGTAAAACTTAATATACGACACGTCGGCACACACTAGCGGAGACGTCAAGTCGAGGAGTTTTCCGGGTTAACGAGGGTTCCTTTGGCCGGGGGACACGCGGCAGTATCGTCGTATCGATGAATAGTCAGAGACAAGAGCTCGTTAGTCTCGTTAGAGTTATGGTGGTCGCAAACAGGCGCGTCTCTCTCGGCCGGAGGAGAGGAAAGAAGGAGGTTCAAGTGAGTACACCGCGTTAACCCCTGTAATTTATCGTGGCCGAGGCCGGGTGTAATAACGATGATATCGGGGTAACTTCTGGCTTGTGATTAAAGCGAGGCTTATCGCACGACCCGGCGCGTTGCTCCTCGTAGAATTTTCCACCTTTCCGAAAATTCGTCTAGTCAAGTGCGAAGCACGTGTGAGACTCGGTGTGGCTCACTACGTAAAATATAACCCGCTTGTCTCCGATTTGTATTTGAAATATAATATTTGATTCGGTCCTTGAATATTAGAAAAAAAAATACAAAATCATATGTTTGGTGCTGTTATTTTAAGGTGTGACCGTCTTGACGAAGAGAGTTTATTGCACTATATATCTTGATGTCGAAGCACTTGCTTCAACACCAAGAAATAATTTAGGAGTGTCTGCTGAGGACGTCTCGAAATGAGCTTGGGACGTAGTCGCGCTACACTCTCGTCGTGTAAATCGAAATGCCGGGAATGCACGGAATATTAAGGAAAGTTACAGTGTAACATATCGGCCATTAATCATAGCGCTCTGTTGCGAGGGTAGTCGCTGGCATTTCTCCCCGCTGAAATGGAAATTACCCTAATGCGTGTACGAATAGCATTCTCAGTATACTCGAGTGAATTTTCAGAGTACATGCGCAAAATACAGTAATTTCCTTTTAGCAAAACTGTCCGAGAAAATTTCATACAAGACATTCGAAAATATTGTCCGTGTTCTGTCGCTAAAAACATAATCATTTCCACCAGAAATAGTTATTTGCACTCTTCGAGTTTAAATCATTAAAAGCTAATAGTTAATCATTTACATTC